ATTTATAATTTTTTCGCCAAAAACGGTCTTTTAAGTGTGTTTAAACGCCCATAAATGCGCGGTTGCCATCGGTCGAGTTCGAGTCAACGTTCGACTGTTATCGGAAGCACCGAAATGTTACGATCGACGCTTGGGCCGTCAAAAGTGTCAACATTTTAAGTTAATTTTTTCATTTTTTCAACCAGAACGGGCTCTTTAAGTGTGTTGGATCCGTAAAACTTCCAGTTCAGCGTCGATAATGCGCTGTGGGCTTCGGCCTAGTTCGGGGGCAATCGGCGTTCGTGCGTCAAAACAGTCAACAAACGTCAAAATTGGCAGCACTTACCTTTTTGCCGTCGAGCTCGTGAGTTCCTTGCGCTAAGACCTTATCTACACTGGAGGGGTCGGTGAACGTGATAAATCCAAATCCCCTAAAAGCAGACAGAAAACGTGAAAAAATCGGCTGCGCACCGCGTTGCGACTAGCTAGTGGAGAAGATATCTGAACAGGGTTGAGTGGGTGGGGGACAGATGGCGCCATGGTTCGACCCGATCGGATCGGGTGGGGGACACGGGCGGGACAAGGATAGGGGGCCAGTTACTGACAGAGTGAGTGAGAGCCAGATATCTTCGATCTACGCCCTAAGTGGACCGAGCGAGTGCCGGACTGGCGACCTCTGTCGGGTCCGGCAGCCACTGGCAACGCGCATGGGAACGTACCTGGGGGTGTAGACCAGCGGGCCGCTGTCCTGCGCGCCAGCAGCGAAGCAGACGCTGCCGCTGAAAGAGATCAACTCACTTCACAACCCCCTCTTTGAGCATTAATTGGTCACATGTGCGGACTACTATGGAACTAGGACTACTCTAAGGCTAGGGCGCAGCACTGGCGCGCAGGTGATGCGCAGCAGTGCCGCCCCCACGGGGCAACTAACAAGCAACTGCTAACTAGCTACGCGTATGGTACAGGGGAGCGGGAGGCGGGGGCGTGGTGGACTCAAGTGACTTACGAGCGCAGTGGCAACATTGTTTCGCTTCAGGAGAACCTGCACACGACAAGTATTGGCCAGTATTTAGGCACTTCATGGGAACAAACGGGCCGCCAGCTGCAGCCGACAAGGACAATAATAAGCCGCACAGTTGTAACGAGGGAATTGAAATTCCGGTTCGGCCAAAAGGCGAACATGCAAACCAGACGGGGGCGCGCGGCAGGGGAAGCTGGGGGGAAAAGCGACGGAATTGATAACTGCGCTCGGCCAAAAGTCGCCCTGGATAGCTGGAAAACTGGCGAAGCCCCCCCGGGTGGACTCGCTTTGTTCGCATCGTTAATGAGTTTCCTTGTCCTCGAATGACCAGCAGGCAGCCAGAGTAAAAGAATGTCACTTCTGTCAAGGTTGTCACATCAGTCAGAGCGAAAAAATGACAGATGTCACCTCGGTCAAGGCTGTCACAGCTGACACTGTCAAATGCGTGACGATGTTTGCAATTGGCAGTGCACAATTTGGCAACTTGCGACTGTTTTGCTCGCTCCTCTGGCCGCTTCAGGAGGAAAAAGCGATGCGGGTTAACCTCAATTTAATTTGGCCGTTTCTTCTTCGCATTAGTGCAAAGTGTCGGCCATCGATCATGCGATCGGACGGGGCCTCGGCCATCGTCCAGTTTAATCTTTGCTAATTTACTGTCTGACGTTGCAGACTTGGATGGCGCTCAATCAATCGTGTGCGATCGCTGCACTTTTTGCGCCCCGAAAATGAAAAATTGAGCCAGTTTGGACCATCTAAGGGCGTTTTAATGCGCGACTGGCAGAAAATCCTCAAGATCATCCTCCAGTCGCAGCGTGTGCGCCGTCTGTTAATAACAGTCGAGTTAATGCGCTTCTTAGTTACGGGGCGCAGTTTTGCGCCGAATTGTTCGACTACAAATCTGCCGTAATTGCAGTCCGGATTAAGATGGCTCCTCGATTAACTTGCACCAGCGGATTTATGGAGCGCTCTAATTGAATAATCTGCGCCTACTCGCTGGAGCCTACGGCGGCCCCCTATTGTCTGTCAAGAGCGGGGAAAAAACGCATCGGTAGGCCCTCTCGCAACGCAACCCATCAACATCGCGCTGAGCTGGCAGCCTTAATAAACAATGACGCAATTTCCCTGTCATATTCAATGACGACCGCTCATAAATAAAGCGCCAGCGGATGGAGAACGCGGCGAAGGAGTAATGCGAACGTCGACGGTTTAAAATGTTTGGTTTTGGCCCTTTTTTGTTTGACTACACTTAGCAAGGAAAACAGGGGGGATTGATGAGCAACTTTCGCAACGACGCTTTATCGCGCATTTGCCTTCCTGTTTATCGATTTGCCCTGTATATATTGAACACAAGCACGCCAGATGCCCACTGCCACCCACCAATCCAGGCTAGAATGAGCTGGCGAGTTCGATTATGCAAAAATACGCCGGCTGTTTTGGACAAATCCACGCCAAAAAGGCAACTTCGGAAAAATTTCATGCACAGCCCCCGTATATTGTTGCATTTTTCGATTCCCCGGACGATTCTAGCCTGACTTGATGGGTCGCACTTGGTACCGAGCGTCAAAACTGCGCCCTCTAGCATCCTCCGATGTTCAATTGTTTCCGCAGCCCTGCGCCATCTCAACGCACTGGCGCAGTAACTCAGTTCCGTTCAAAATTGCTCAAAAAAGTGTTGCTGTCCTTGCTACAATTTCAGTCCTGATTTCAGTTAATAAATGCGTTATAACTCATCGGTTAATGAGTTATGGCGCATCGACTCAGAGAGCGGCACCAACTCAACACCCAGGTGTGGCCCAGGGCTACATGCGACCACACTAGACTTTCGCAGAAATCCGAATCGGCCCACATATACCGGGTGGCACAAAAAAGATCAATTTTGTTTCCCGTTCGTACTGCCCTCTGGCGCCCAAACTATTCGTCCTAGATAGCAAGTGCGACCCATCAAGTCAGGCTAGAATCGTCCGGGGAATGCAAAAATGCAACAATATACCGGATGTTGTGGGCAAAAAATCCAACTTGCTCAAAACTCAGTCGAATTGGCAAGGAAGGACATTGCGACATTTTAATCAACTGTGTCCAGGACGGTTCACAATGGAAAATCGCCGTCATGCCGACCAACAACGGGCATCAAACGTGGGGGGCCAGAAAACCACCCGAAGGAGTTTCGGGTGCTGTTCGGGAGAGCGTTGACAAATGCGGCCAGTCGGGAGAGATAATCAGGAGCGCTCCATTTCACGGCGAACGGCATTTACTTTATCCATCTCGTTCCTTTGGACAATTAATTCCTTTGGTGCTGGGGGTCGCTTTTTTGCGATTTGTTTCGGTGCGCCGCCCGCCGGATCAGATTTCGAGGATGGCGAGGGCCAATGGGGGCAGCGGACCGAACCGAGGCCGCCCCATCGCTGAGGGCCACATTCCCAAACACCCTAAATACACATGTTTGAGAAGGCGGATTAGACGTGCAAACTGGCGGCTTGGGATTGAGACAAATCTACGTGTAGGTACTTGACGACATGGTTGCCGATGGTTTGTTTGTCCGCGCTGGGGAACGGGCGGCATCGTTGCCTCCCACTCATCCACATATCTGTCAAAGGGTTCCACTGATCACCTCGCGAATTTCTCATTAGTTATTCCCAAGGTCATCTCGATTTTTGACATTTATGACATCTTGCCGAATACCATTTTCGTTGACAGGTGTAAACGTCAATTTTAAAATCACTTTTTCTCCTCTTTTTCCGTTCACCTCTCAATTTCCCTCGCATATTTCGTCCAATTTGGATACTTCCAATGACGTGTGCTCTAATCACTCGAAACCTGCCCCCATTCATGCCCTCTCTTTTGCCTTCACACATATGTCGATCGGAAAGCATTTGCGGGAGAGAGAGACAATCATGTGTGGGCATGTCATCACTCGGTCCGCGAGTGTTGAATGGGACTTTTCAAAAACATGGAAAAGTCGAAGATGCTCGAACATTTTTTCGATTCATTTGATCAGGTAAAATCGGAAACCAATCGTTTCTCATTCTGATATCCATACATCCTTAGCCACATCTATTGGCTATGTTTTGGGGCGACCAGAATGCGTTGATAGTGATTGGCTGGTTTTTGGGAAGCATTTAAATTGAACGGCACCACAATTTAGCGATTTACATGGGGTTAAATGGAGTTTTTTGTCGTTCACTTTACCAAATCGATTTGATACGGAGTCGATTCGTAGTAATCGATGTCATTTGCAACCAATTCGAATGACATTTGATATTGTTATTCAATTTTGAAAATTCCTCTTCCATAAGAGCCTGTACAAACTTTTTGGTTTTTTCGCTGTTGCTCATAGAGGAAATTTTTCTTCAACCAACCAAAGCCGAGTTATCATGTAACTTTTTCGTATCTAACCGTCTGCTAGATAAAAGCCAAAAAAAAAAAATTTTTTTTGCCCAAAAATTTTGCTGTGGAACCCTTACGATTTTTTCGAAATTTTACATTTTATTTTTTTGTTCGAAAACGAAGCATCCTATCGAGAAAAGTTATTCTTGATCAAAACTTGGGCCTAACGAGGCCGATCTAATGGTATTTTTTGCAACGCTCCAGCTGTCATAGTTTTCGAGAAAATCGCCAAAATATGGTTTTCGAAAAACTGCAAAAATCTCGATAACCAAAAGAGCCGGACCGAATTGAGTAAGCTCGGTCGATGGGCCGTCTCAAGGGCCCCAAAAAAGCTCCTATTCACTGTTTTGCTCTGATCGCTACTAAGCGAGCAATTGGCGATTTTCGAAAATAACGCGAAATTTCGGGGGAAAATTTTCGAAATTTTCACCAATTTTGCGATGTCAAATTTTGACATAGGAGGTCTTCCTAGTGATCCAAAGCAATCCATTACAAGCCAAAAAAAATTTTGAAAAAAAATCCATTTGTTATGCGACTGGTCCAATGGAGAATGTCGCTTTGTTGCGACAGCGATGGAACCGCAACGGTGTTGTTGTGCTCGTTTTAATTACTTTTCTGTCAAAGGGCCGATCCTGCAACTTGCCGATAAAATGATAAACGAGGCACGATACGGGGCTTCGGTGGCAGGCCGGTTTTGTGCCGCGCGCGCTTTGTTCTTTGACTCACATTCGCCCTGATTATTATTGGCAATTTTTTTCCCAACAGCCGCTTTTTCCTGCATTTTTGCATTCCCCAGACGATCCCAGCGTGACCTGATGGGCCGCACTTGCCGTCTAGAACGACTAGTTTCCATTGAAACGCGTGTGTGTCTTCCATGAACGACCGGGAAAGCGAGGAAGGCGCATAAAAGGGGGACGCGGCGCAAAAGCGCCCGCTATTGGCGCAAAATCCTCCATATATTTGATTTGAAATAGTCGGTGGTAATAAAACGGGCTTAGGCTCAATGTGGGAAATATGCGATCCGGGCGGGAGGCGGTTTTTCCATCTCAACTTTCCGGCGAAATGAAATTTCCGAAGGCTGCACGGAATCAATTCGCCGATTGGTTTCCATATCGAATATGCGGCACCGAGATGAAAATCCATCGTTCCATCGCGGCGCCCTGCAGGTGGCGGCCATTTTGGACGGGCACTGTCACTTGTCACTTGTCACCGCCATATTGCCTTTGCTTAGATAGTGATCGGAGCGGGTGGGGGCCGGACGGGACGTCGCCTCGAAGAGGGGAAGTTTAGCGACGGCGAAACCCTTTGAACAGTGACGACTTTGCCTTTCAAGGCCTTTCAAGGGCCTTAAGGAGTTTCGAATGCGAATGCGAATGGATGGATGGTCACGGTTTCTCTTCGGCGGCTTTGATCCTCGCCCTTTCAGGGGTTTCAAAGCATGGAAAACCCGTGCGGATTAATCCGGAGCATCAGCTGATAGTCGGGAGCAAGTGGAAAAAGGCGGCTGAGGCGCAAATCTGGGCCAATTTGGCCACCTTGACGCTGATCCGGCAGGGAAAAGCAGCTGGAAAATGAACTGGCGCTTCCCTGAATAATTCAGCACGCTAACAAATAAATGCGCCTCCATTCCAGGCCTGTCTGCCTGCTTGACTGCCAGATAGACAGGTTTCGGAATGATGATGAATCCGAGCGATTTGATTCGTAGAGTCGGGGAGAGTGAAGGAGAGTGGCGAGAAACCGCCCGGAAAAGTGCCAGCTTAAGCGAAACATCCATTGAGGACGAGAAACCGTTAAAACAACCTCATTGCGATCGATTTTTCCTCACACTCAACACGTTGACCGGTTTGCTTTGATTTCGCSCCGACCAATTGAGTTAGAGCGGCGCAGCTAGAGATCGTGGATGTCCAAACGCGATTTTTCCTGCCGCCCGGCCAGCARGATTTCCCAGCAATTTGCSAAATTGACGCGAAAAAGGGCCGGCAAAACGCGAGCTTTTACTCATTAGTCCAGTCATTCATGCGTTCCTTCCGCATTTTTKGGCAAAAACTGATYAAAATGCGCAGTTTCGGSTGTTTTGATGCAMASGTGTGTCATACACACACCGGTTATGAAACTCAAAAACGGATCRRATCTGAAACTTCTAGAATGTTTGAAGGTCACAAATATGCATTTGTGATAATAAACTGAGTTACCCAGGCCTGCTGGATTTGGCCCGAGTTTCATAACCGGTGTGTGTTTGACACACGTTTGCAKCAAAACACCCGAAACTGCGCATTTTGATCAGTTTTTGCCCACCTCCACTGAAAAAGGTGATCGGGAACTGAGTTAACCCATTAAACCAGAGGGCYGCAACAACTCGAAAGCGCATCTCAACACAGTGTCTTAGGCCTGGGTGTGTTAACTCATTAACTCCCAGTGTTGCCCTACAGGCCTACGCTGTCCGAGCGGCGTTCCCGAAACCGGTCCGGTTCCGTCGGACAAAAAGCGGGCGCATTTTCCGACGGCAATCGCGCTCCTCCTGCGCCCCACCAGCTAAAGAGAAAACCGGATTTGGGCTGTCAAGACATCGACGCCTGATTGATTGATTACGCGCCGGATGAATCGATGCGGATTAACCTTAATGGGCTGAGGAGTGTCGGCGATTTGGGCCGGGGATGGGGGGCAGCTGGAGCCCCTCTCGCGTGGCCCACTCAGCCCCCAGCGACTTCAAGTGCGGTTGGGCGGCCTCTCCGACGTCTTACTCCCGACGGATGGCGCTCCAAGTGACCATTGTCAGCGCAATTGCCTCCTCCTGATGATGCTCGGCTCGGCCACCGTCGATTCCATTATGCTAATGCGGAGGCAACGAGTCGAGTGGGCCGGGCAGATAGCGCGACTTCAGACACTCCATTGTTTACTTGGGGCCCTTTTGCCGACGTGTCTGAATATACATGAGCGTTCCATATGGAGCAGCCAGCCGGGCCCGCGCCCTCCACTTGGCCCCAACTTTCAATCGAAACCCCACTTAAGGCGGGGGAGGAGGACTGGTCGAGTGTCGTCTTGAGCAGCTGACGGTTTTTTCCGCCCCGCATAATGATGATGATCATGATCACCTTTAGACGCCCCGCCAATGAAGCGCCCCCCCCATTGGGGAATAATGCGCCATGATTATTTCACAATCTCTAATAGCCGCATTAAATGTTAAAGAGCCGAATTATGTTATTAAATTCGTTCGCATCGTGCCAGGGCATTTCGCAAACGAATTCATTATTCCAGACAGTTTATACAATAGAGAATGGGTTAATAATTTAAATCGCCCCGTCAGGCCTCTGTGTCTCTCTCTGTGTGTGTGTATGTGGATATGGGCCAGAATTGCCGCCTTTGTTCCCAGCTTTACAGGGGAGGACGAAATTTGGGGATCGCGTTTTCGGTTTGTGATCGCGCCCCGTACGCTCGCACTGCTACCGGGACGGTGCAACGATGCCCGGCCATTTAATTAGGTTGCGGCCGCAAAGAAATGCGGAAAGTTCGCGTTTTTATTAGAAAGTTTCGGCAAATTTATGCGCAAACTTTCCCCGAGGGGGCCGAAGAAAAGTCTTTTTAAACGGGTTGATGAGGGGGCCGGAAAACTGCGCCCGAACCGGATAAAACGCTGGAAACTGGCACGCCACTGGATAGAGTCAAACGCAAAAAGCATTTCCAATTGCAAAATGTGGGGTGAAGCTAAACTGAAAGTTTCGAGCTGCCCCGCCATCGTCAGACTCCTTCCGGCCAATCAAAACCTCAGGACCAATTGATATTCGTGGACGAAGTTTCACTGGCTTTTGAGGCGCAAAAAACGGGTTTGAATGCGCTAATTTTGTGTGTCGGCACAACAACCGCAAAAGAGTGTT